ATATCAGGAAATGCTCTATCAAGAACAGAAAGCATAGCATCTCTAGCACCTGGAATTCTATATGCTGCCTATAGTAAATTGAGCAGTGAGGATAAATTTGACTTCTTGAATTAGGACCTATTTAGTAGTTCTGATGTATGAGATTAAGGGGATGGATTGCAGCTAATGACTTGGAAGCATCTAAGTATCAGAGTTTTGGCAGATTGTTGTGACTTCAAGTAAGGGGAGACTGAATATGATCAACCACTGTTTTGGAATGCACAGGATGCCCAGTAGCTGTTAATTGAAATTGACATGAATGTGTTGCCTGTCCAGTCACCAATAATTTAAAAGTCCAACTTTCATCAACTGAATAGTCCAACAAACCAGTTGCCTATGTGTAATTTAAGTCTTAAAACTAGGATTTCCCCCCAAATTATCTTTAGAAGTCCTGATTGTGAATACAGTTTAAAAGCATGGAACTATTACAGATTAACCTTTTATCCAGGAACATGATCTAGATCAGGGGTCTCCAACCTTGGCATTTTTAAGATTTGTGGACTTCAACTCCCAGAATTCCTCAGCCAGCAAAGCTGAAGTCCACAAGTTGCCAAGGTTGGAGACTCCTGATCTATAGATGATATATACAATTATGCTACATGGGGTTGGTTAAATACATTGAATGTAGAATATCAAGAGGTGCTCTAGCAATAAATATAGGAAAGAATAGGAAGGTGCCATGGCTCAGCAGTTAAAAATGCTGAGCTTGTCAGCTGGATAGTTGACAACTGAGGTTCGAGACCCAGTGCCACACAACGGGGTGAGCTCCCGCTACTTACCCCAGCTTCTACCCTCCTAGAAGTTTCAAAAGCATGCAAATGCGCATAGATACATTGGTACCACTTCGGTGAGAAAGTAACAGCGTTCCACGCACTTTTGGTGTTATAGTCATGCTAGTCATGTGACCACAGAAATGCCTTCAGACAACGCTGGCTCCTTGGCCAAGAAATGTTCGACATGACTGGATAGGGGAAACCTGTACCTGTACCTTTATAGAAAAGAATGATGCTTGGTTGAGTATTAAAACTAGGAACTGACAATAGGATTTCTGGAAGACAGGAGATAAGATCAGTTTCTGCTATCTGGCAGAGAAGATAAGCAGACAGTTGTCAGTTTGAGGTACTAGCAATTATCCTGGTAGAAGGGTCTGCAGATCAGTTAATGCAGGATCCTGCAGCTCAGCTTCTCTTGAAGTAATCTTGTAACTTTTACCTTTGCTTATTTTGCAGTTTCATGGGCCTTTGTTGATTTACATCTAAGGCATGAAACCTATTATTTTCAGTATAAATTCTCTACAGTGTTTCCCTTAACAAAATAAATTTGATATTGATATTGATCATCAAAGGCAAGATCTTGCTCCTAAAATACAGGTAGGCAGGAAATAGAGCACTTCTGAAAATTTGAAGTATAACCAGCATGGTTTTGGTTCTTTGTTGCTTGTCTGCATAACAACAAATAAGACACATTGTTGAAAAATTTTCAATGGGGAATCAGGGGGAAAAATTAGTGATTTCAGTATTTGCAATATTTGCTTTCAAGGCACATTTCTGCATTTGTTGCATTGTTCATGACTTCTTGAGAATGAAAAGGGGTCTTTTCAATGTCAAAATTTTCCGTGTAAGCCTCAATATTTTCAGAGGAACGGAAGCGTGTGGAAGGCTCTAGCAAGCATTAGAAAAGCAATTAATCTGTAGTCCAAATTAAGTATAAAGTTTTATGAATAACCCAATAGCTAAATTTGTAAGAAGCTGAACATTCAACACCATTTGGCTCAAAAGCATCAGAGGGCAGGGCAGGAAAAAAAATGGATGGAAACTAATCAAGGAGAGAAGCAACCTGGAATTAAGGAGAAACTTCGTAACAGTGAGGACAATTAGGACGGCTTGCCATCAGAAGTTGTAGGTGCTTCATCATGAGAGGTTTTTAAGAAGAGACTGGACAGTCACTTGTCTGAAGTGGTATAGCACATGGGTGTCAAACTCATGTTGTCACAGCAGTGTCATGTGACCTGTCAGGACTTTCCCTCCTTTACTAAACTGGGCATGGGCGTGGCCAGCCCATGTCGCATCCGGCCTGCGGGCTGGGACTTTGACAGCCCTGGTGTAGGGTTTCTTGCATGGGGCTGGACTAGAATTCCTTTAAGGTGACTTCCAGCTCTATTCTGATTGATTGATAGTCATTTTTGTCATGGAATATCTCAGAAAGTGTGAGTTAAAACATTTTTTTCCTCTTCCTCTTCCTCCATATATATTTTAATCACTGGCCATTTCCCAGAGCTATTATGGAACACAGTGTAGGTGTTGCGTTCCAGCTGTGTGTTGTACTGCTCTGTAAAGTTTTCACTCTTACTTGCAGCCAAAGGACTGAAATCTGAAATGAATTCTGCCACTTCTGCTCGATAGGCTCTGCAAGGCAGTGTTGTTTCTTCCATAATAGTATGTATGAATGCAAAGTGACTTTCTCAGTTTCTGTCTGAAGAATTCTCTATTTAAACAACCGGTCAACAAATCCCTCCATTAAAACAGGATTAACTGTACTTTCTTTCAGTGAAGAATTGCCACTTGAGGATCGAATCAGTTTCTTAAGAGAGAAGTGGAGAAATAGTTGCTATTTGGCAGTTTTCCAAAGCAAGTAGCACCCCCACTGCTTTTATAATCAATGTTTCTTCACTGTAGGGGCAATTGATTAATCATGCAATTGGAGACTCTGGCAAGGGGAGGGAGAAAGTTAAAAAAAAAACCTGATCTCCCTATAAAACAATGCTTGGGATAAAGTAGGAGTGGGTAGAAAATCGGTCAGAGCAGATTTCTGGGTATTTGCATTATATTGTAGGTGTTTCTGCCTCCTAATTATCTCATTGTAGAACCAACTCAGCAGCTTTGCTGAAAAAGAATACTTGTGGGAAAAACCAAGAATATACAGTATTTGTGTGTGAAAGGATTTGTGAGATTGGTTCTGGGGGTAAATCACACATTTCTGGGCTGAGCATATGTTTTTGCAGCGCCTTGTTTTTAATGCTTAACATTTGTCCCACCAATTTGAGCTCCTAGATTTACAGCCTGCTAAGTAAGGTTGGTGGCTCAGTGGCCAAGACGCTGAGCTTGTTGATCAGAAAGGTCAACAGTTCGGCAGTTCAAATCCCTAGCATAACCGCGTAACGGAGTGCGCTCCCGTTACTTGTCCCAGCTTCTGCCAACCTAGCAGTTCAAAAGCATGTAAAAATGCAAGTAGAAAAATAGGGACCACTTTGGTGGGAAGGTAACAGTGTTCTGTGTGCCTTTGGTGTTTAGTCACGCCAGCCACATGACCACGGAGACGTCTTTGGACAGTGCTGGCTCTTCGGCTTTGTAACGGAGATGAGCACTGCCCCCTAGAGCCAGAAACGACTAGCACATATGCGTGAGGGCAACCTTTACCTTTAAGGGATTGGAAGCATTTGGGATTCCCTCATTCTCTCTTGTGCATGCTAGCAAGGCAGCTAAGTGCATCTTGAAAGCCTGTGCCTGCCGCTGCTCTTAGAAAGGGAAATGATTCACAACCATTCCTTATTGTCCTGTCTTTTGCCAATTTGAAAGTTTCTCATCAAAAGAAGAGATCCCACGGCTATTTCCGATTTAGAATATGAAGCGTCATTAATAGCACCAGGACTGTTCTGATACAACAAGGATAAGAGTATATATTTATTCCCTAAATAACTGCTTTGGTTGCCAGGAGTCAGGTACTCTGACTTCCAAAGCATTTCCGGAGCTCTCAGCTGATGGGTTGGAATGCAAGGTGGAGACAGAGTCATATTCATAGGCCTGAATCCTCTTCTGGATTTCTGAAACCCTTTGAAAGGTGCAAAAAAACATGTCCTGGTTTTAGAGGAATTTGGCTTTCCTCAAATCTGCCATCTTCTTTCTCCCTGTTTTTCTGCCATAATATGGCTAACTTCATGATGAAATGCTATTTCATGCTGTCTGCTACTACAGAGAGAATATTGTTATATTTTTGTGAGACACTTCGAGATTATTAAAAAAAACCCAGAAATGTAAGGAAATGCCACACACTGAGCATTACTTGTGTATGAAATAGAAATAGTGACATTCCACAATGAATTTGAAAATAGGACATTTTCATCTGATAGTTGTGTTATCTTTCTGTTTAACCATTGTTATAAATTACTATCTGATTGGCATTTTTGTTTCTCCTCCTAAGCTGTAAGGATAATCTAAAACATTTTTTTTAAATGTCTTGTTAGAACACATATTATTACCACAAATTGCATACATTGCTATGCAACACAGCATAATTGAAGTTGGAGATTTTTCTTGGCCATCATTGACAGGGTAAAGTTAACCAAATGATATATTGTATTACATTGAAATTCCTCATAAATTAAAAATAGCATTTGGATTTATTATAGTTTTTCTATATTTCTCATTTGTCCAATTTTCACTACAATTTGTCCCTGGTCTCCATCTTTTGAGAATGTTTGGGAAGAAAGGTTTGCAATGCCAGTGCACATACATTTCTTTCTAACATGAATGTCTATCTATGCATTTAACTTTGCCAACTATTCACATCTCTGCAACATATTTCTTGAAAAATACATTTTTGCTTACCTTGAAGAATATACATATTTTTCCACACTTTGTAATTTTTGACAGAGAATTAACACCACAAATAGTCAGAAAATATAGTTTTTATAGGATAACTAGTTTTTAATTCTTTCTCCCATCTGAAAGTAGAAAATTAATTACGCTACCTATTTATTCAGTACAGTGGATGCATTTCCTGATAATATGTATTCACATAGACTCAGTTTGGTTGTGTTTAGCTGTTGTATCCAGTTAGCTGTAGAATAATGTATGATATAAATTGGAAAATACTTTCCAAGCTGACCTTATATGAATGCTTTTTTGTATCCTTATCTTTCTAGACTCCTCTCTAAGATAATGCTGATTATTTCTTTCCCGCAGGTGCAGCTAGCAGCAGCTCCGAATGTTCCTGTGGCCGCAACCATTTCACCTGTGCCGTTAGTGCTTTTGGCGAATGCACTTGCATCCCTGCTCAGTGGCAGTGTGATGGCGACAACGACTGTGGGGACCATAGTGATGAAGATGGTTGTAGTAAGAAAATAATCCATAATTAGGAGGGAGGGATTGACGCGGAAGAATACTTCCATGCGTTTTTTATGCTTTTGTATTTGGTTCTTTTAAAAAGGCACATGCCTTATTCTTTTTTTTACTGAAGGGTCACTTTAAGACTCTATTATTAGAGTCCGGAAGACCAAATGCATGTTGCTAAATTATGAAATGCTGAAACCTGATCACTCTCCAACCTCTGTCTTTGACCTTCTGGAAATTAGTGGAGGGGCAGGGTTTTGTTACATTATCTTTTGTGCTCCTCGGACACAGCAAAATCGGGTTTTGCATTTCTGTTTATTTTATGACCTAACAGGGACTCAACTTCCACTATCACATCATTATAAAAGAAGTGTAAGTGTTGATTTGAACTGTGAACTGTTACACATTTTGAGATCACCACTCGTTGATTGGCAGTTGCAGGCAAAGTTGATAACTGGTGCTGAGCGTAGAGGAAAGCATAAGCTAATAGAGATCTTGGCGATTTTAAAATATACTCATTAGTTGAGAATGAGGAGTATTAAGAAGGGAGAGAAAGTAGACTGGAGATAAAGGAAGGACACAGAGTGAAACGTGGCCACAGGAGAGTCAGGAAGGGTATAGTATTCAGCACTTCTTCTGCTGCTGTGATGCCTTCTGAAAGAAGACAGTAGTGATGGCAGATCTTGGGTGCTAATTTTCTTTGCCATTTATACAGTTATTCCTACAGTTGTTTTTGTAGGATTATCAGAGAGGGGGGGAGGGGGGAGAGAGAGAGAGAACTGAATTCCTCCAAAAACTGAAATGGGAGTCAACTACTATACATACCTGTGATGGAAGAACTTGTACCATATTAAACTGAAGAAGATCCTCTTTTCTATGCTTTCTCCAAATACCTATTTTTATTTTGTGAAACAAAATGACCCCATATGCACCGAGTAAGTGACACTGATGAAATGGGAGTTAGATTAGAGCTGTTGTTTTATAAAGCTGGCTAATATAAAAAATACACTTTTGTTTTATATAGACGTTGCAAAAGCATGAGTGTTCTTGAAAGGCAGAACTTTTAAAAAGTAGAGGGGGGGTGGAAGGAGCGTTATGTATGACATCCTTAGCTGTACAATCTAAAGTTTGAGTTTCAATCAAAGTTTCTCAGGTTAGGCTCAGTTTCCTATAACTACCTGAGCAAAAATTAGTTGCTATTGCTCTTTGCTAGGATTTAAAAAAAAAACACCTTAGTCCAAATCACAGCCTTGATATTTCCAGATTTCTAAATGGATTTTAGGAAAGCATATAAATGAGTCCTTCTCTTAGAAAGTCTCTTTTGGAGTAATTAGAGCTTCTGGATATGACATCTACAAATACATGATTTACCTGTCAAAGAATCTTCACTACAAAGAACGCAGAGAAAAATGAGATATCCCGTTTGCATATACCTTTTTTTTAGTGCAACAGCAGTATATACTGTAGGGATAGAAATCCAAGGTGAAAGTAGATCTCACATGTCACTGAAGTATCTGATTTCCAAAACATCATCATCATCATCATCATCATCATCATTATTTGATTATATCAGGACCATTATGTGTCAGTTTCTTTACATCTCTTAATTATGCAACATCCCTTTGTGAAATAGAGATAGTCCTTGACTTATGATCATAATTGAGCCCAACATTACTGATGGTAAGCAAAATATTTGTTAAGTGAATTTGCCCCATTTTACGACCTTTCTTGCCATAGTTGTTAAGTGAATCACTGCAGTTGTTGAGTTAGTAACAGAGTTGTTAAATGAATCTGGTTTCCCCATTGACTTTGTTTATAAGAAGGTTGCAAAAGGGGATCAAAGGACACAGCAACCGTCATAAATATGAGTCAGTGGCCAAATATGAATCAGTGGCCAAGCATTTGAATTTCAATCACATGACCATAAGGGATGGTGCAACGGTTGTTAATTATGAAAAATGGTCATAAGTCACTTTTTTCAGGGCCGTTGTACCTTTGAACAGTCACTAAATGAACTGTTGTAAGTGGAGGACTGCACTGCTGTTGAGTAGTATCCTTCTTTTCCCATCCCTTTCCTTATCAGTCATTTGTAAACCTGATGTAAATGAAGAGAGTTGTAAACCTCAGGAATTTTGCATGGTTTTTTTTTTTAGTGATCTTTCTTTGGCCTAATTATTTTTAATAACTGAGAGGGGTCACTGCACGTGCAGTGCTTCGTATTTGATTTCAAAGGGATGTCAAGGGCCGTTGTTGGAGACAAAAGAATAATGCCGTGTTTGTACCCATATGTTTTCTGAAGCTCCGTACTGGAATCAAATACGAACCATCACAGAGCCCCGATAACTAAAAGAAGTATTGTACATTTTAAAACATTTTTTGTGGTTTTCCCAAAGGGCCTTTTTTTTTTTTTTTCAAGAGGCAACTGGACTTTCTGGTTTTTCTTGGAAGACATTTCGCTTCTTAGATGGGAAGCGAAATGTCTTCCAAGAAAAACCAGGAAAAAGCACCTCTCGAAAAAGCACCTTCGGGACCACCATGACCTGGATGACTGAGAATCTCCATAGGCAGTTTTTGTGATCCTTTTTTTAAAAAAATGAAATTGTTGTATATAATGTTTGGGAAAATTGAACCTGTCTTGGTCTTAGATAAGAAATAAGGACAGTTGAAGCAGTAGGGCTGTAACGCCACCTGTTTTGGTGATTTTATTCATCTGTATTGCTTTAGGCTATGACTTGTTTTCTTCTCTTTTGTTTACTAGACACAATTGGCTAGGTTCATACAAGCTAGAAATTGGTAGGTTGTGAATTCTACGTGCTCTCCAGCCTCCCAAAGCTTTACTAAATGAGCTTAGCTGAATATTTTAGTTTTTAAAAAGTATATTGGAGGAGGGATTTGTTGGAATTTAAGGAGCAAAATTATGGTCGCTGGCAGTACTTTCATTTGGGATATTTATTTCACTCCTGTACATAGACACAAACAAATTTAAACTGATTTTTTTGTGGGGGTGCGGGCGTTACGGGGGGAAAATGGGTTTAGCTACTGAAAAGAGTTCCTCTTTGGTTCCTTTAAAGCCCTGAATAGACCCCTCCAAACGAATCTACGCTCATATATTTCTTTATTTTAAAGATTTATATGGTTGCCCATCTTATATAACTCTGGGTGGCTCACAAAGACAATAAAAACCAATAACTATAAAACAGTCATAAAAACAATGAAAACAATCAAACAATAAACAGTGAAAACAATAAAACAAAAGCACCATGCTTAAAGCACCACTTGCTTAAAATTGGGAAATTTAGACTGGCAGTTTTCAGAGCTACAGCGAAGCTCCATGCAAATGGAGGAGACAAGCAAGCAAGCTTTGCAGAGCAGACAACGCTTGAAATAGAAAAGGATACAGAACAGCTTGAGGGGAAATCTCACACTCAGATCAGATTACATGGGCAAAACAGAATTCTCTTTCTCAGAAGGAATACAAAGAAAAAAGAAACTGAAAGAAGAAATTAAAGTCAAGCAGGTTCCTTGTATCTTCTTCACAATATACTTCTGTGCTTTACTGACACTACCCACTCCTGGATCAGCTTAATTTTCTCTTGAGATGTTTTTTTCCGCCACTCTGGTTCAAATTATAGATCAAGTTACTGACTGCTTTTTAAGACCGAGGATGGGTGGGTGGGGGTCAGTAATGAAACAAGCCCGCTCTTCTATGTTAAAGGTGTTAGGCGAAAACAGCACTTTGAACTTAGAGGAGCAAAAAGAGGGTAAAGAATTACATTGGAAAGAACAGGCGTGATTATGTATTCCAACAGCTAGCTTGATGGAAGGACCATGTAGGAGTAAGTGAGCGAGGAGATTCTCAGATATGAAGAAAGGGAGTATGTTGCTGGATATGGAGTTATAGATTTGATGGGATCTCTTAATTTTTGTCTTTGGCAGCTCCCAGCCAGTTGCCTGCTGCGGTTTTAGTCGAGTCTCTTTGAGTGTTGCTATATATAAGATCCACCTAGCTTTCTTTAATGAACTTGCATTCTGTTTCTTTTTGGTGTTTTTTTTTAAAAAACCCATGTCTCTCTTTACCGATCTCAGCCACAATCAAGCATCTCATTTGTGCTTGATTATGGTTAGATCATGGCTTTCAAACTCCCAGCCCTCAGGCCGGATGGGTCCTGCACCGGCCACACCCACATCCGGTTTAGTGGGGAAAAAAGTTCCAATAGGTAATATGATGCTGTCATGACAACGTGAGTTTGACACCCCTGGGCTAGATCCTCTTGCCAGTCTCCTTAAGAAATGCCACTTCCTACTAGAGGGAAACTTCTCTGTATTGGTCTGTCGGCTTTTCTGCAGCTGGTGGGAGGTAGATTCCTTGACTGAAGTGGCATCCACCCTTGATTTAGAAAATAAGATTCATCACTGCTACACAATAGGTTAATGATAGTGACAGCTCCTTGCATAACTTCTTCAAAGGTGGAAATGATAGCATGACAAAGAAGAATTAATTAGATGCATTCATAGGTGAACCAGGAAATGAGGTATGTGTATAAAAGTAGGAGGTCGGAATATTGGTATACTTGGCAGCCTGTATATGTGAGGACTTTTTCAGCAACCAGTCCTCAAAATATCTGGAGTGTCAATGAACTAGCTTCAAACCCCCTTCAGTAAGTGGAGATTTTGGGGTTTCCGAACAGAAAAAAGACAAGAACCATAGTAAACATGTAACAAGCTCAGTCTTGCCTGATGGGTGTTGCAACTTATTCTTTGATGGAATTTCCAGCATCAGTGTTTGCCTAAATTATGGAAACCTTGCCTACTAGACAGACAAGACCTTCCAGAAACTGGAATTAGCACTAGATAGTTTATTTAAAGCAGATTCTCACTGACTGAAGGCATTCGTTATATACTGTACTTGCCCCAATATAAATGGAAATTCAGTGTCCAGGATAGTACTTGGTAATCCTTTCAAAGTTAGAGAGTAAAATTGGTGGAATGAATAACCAACAGTG